CCTTGTCTGCAGATGCATTCCTTCATCAAGCTAATAGCAGTGTGGTACCAGAAGGGTTCACCTATGTATTACACAACCACTTTAATAACCTGAATTGCCATCTTAGCACAGCTAGTTTTTCTGCTCTTGTCTGAAAAGCTATTTCAGAATGTGATGGGTTAAAATCCTATTTCTAGTTATGGTTAGTTCATGGACAGTCTGTACTTTTATTCAAAGTGCCCTCACTTCTCTTCCATAAGCTCTGTATTCTAGCTATGCCCTACATCTGATCCAGCTTGACGTTACCTTTATTGAAGAGGCTGACCGGTATGACAGGCAGAATTCCAGGTGAGATTATTCAGTACTCTATCTGGTGGTACTCATCTTTCCCAGTCTCTCCAGGACATCCTGCTAATACATCTCTGAAGTCTTCCATTTTGCAGATTCTGCTTTTCAGTCCACATTTACTTCTGCATACTTAAGAGCAATAAAGTGACACTTTTCATTTATTTAAGATTGTCTCAAGACTGTCCTAGAGAGGAGGCTTACTGCAGCTCTTCCTTCAGGTATAATGAGAACTGCTTAATTGCATGTCTCTCCATGAATACTTCTAAAAGGGAGAGATTTAAGTTTATCTTTTGAAGAAGAGTGACCACGAAGTAATGTACAGTTGCAGTAAAGATGCTAAAATAGCAAAGGTTTGTTAAAATAATAATTATTGACAGTAAGCGATGATTTACAGAGGAGAAAGCAAATTAAATGGCTTGCAGTACATATAATCCAATGTATTTTACAATGGGCTATAATAAGAGCCAACCTTTATCAAGCAACATACATGACTTAGTTCTTCATATCTTATGTGTGCAACCAAGAAACAGTGCTCCTTTGTTGCTTTACTGCAGGGATCTGTATGTGCTGATTTTAGCTTTCAAAACAAGACACGTTAAATTTTAGTGAATTACAACAGCTCCAGCAATGGTTTTACGCCTAGACAAAGATCACATTGTTTGGTCCCCAGGATTGTAACTAGTGCATAAAAATCATGCTCACTTTCATCATTATTTCTGATAGAATCATACTTACCATTGTCTGGTAAGTGCTTCACTCACTTACAGTCTTTGTGACCTACTGCTAGGTCCCTTTGTATTACTGTTGTTGCCCAAAAGAGACTGAAAATTGCCAATAGAGCAGCAGCAAAGAAATCTTAAAGGAGGAGGAAATTCTGGACTTCTGCAGTTGGCAAATTTGGTTGTGTAAAGACTTTGTTTTCAGGGATGAAGATGAAAGTGAAAAATAATTTTGGTTGAGAGTAGCATCTCTTGGAAATACTTCATTTGTGAAAACGTTAATTTTTGTTTGAAAAATGAAAATTCTTTGAGACTGAGAAAAAAAGTTAGAAGGTAAACAAAACCAACCAGAACGTACAATTTGTAATTCACTATTCTTAAGGAAATGTCATGCTACTTTAATGATTTAATGATGTACTTTCAGAATCTAATTCTTAACATATTTTATTTTCAACCTTAGTTAGAAAACAGTCGTTTCCAGTAATATTCTATTACTCTATGAGCATCATTGGTGGACCTGATGTTTTTAACAGCCGACTTTCAGGACATCAACATTATGTGTCTGATTTGATAATTGCCACCATGTGAGGTTGGAGTAAATATAGCACATTAGGAGCTTTATTATAAATTGTAAGTTATAAGCAGATGCGTCTGTTAGCATCATGCGGAGAAGCCCTGTTGGGCATAACAGCACAGGTCAGGACTAGTCAGCCAATATAAGCTGCTTTAAATTGTGCACCTTCCAAACATAGGTGTGCCGCATCTTACTTCATATTAATTGCAACACAGACGTGCTATGAAAGAACCTTAGTGGCTGTTGGCATTTTGACTTCGGCCATCTGGAAGTTTTGCAGAGCTGTGATCAGCATTCACTGCCAAGCCCTCGCCTTCCCCGTGCCTGTTCCCATGGAAACGGTTGCAGCTGGGAGAGAAGGGATGGGGAAGGCTTTCTTGTTATCGTTTGCATGAGGTCTTTTGTCCTGATTGAGGGTTCCCAGGACAGCAGGAAATCAGCAGTGAATGGAAGGCTGCAGACCTCATCTGGGGAAGCCCAGCTGACTGGCTGGGCCAGCAAGTGCACTTTTCAACCAACACCACACATTTCTCAGTCTCCTAGAGAGATATGGAGAAAAGGAGAATAATCATAGTGACAGCATCACAGAAGGGCTTGGGTTGGAAGGGACCCTAAAGCCCACCCAGTCCCACTGCCTTGCCATGGGCAGGGTTGCCCCCCACTAGGTCAGGCTGCCCAGGGCCCATCCCACCCGGCCTTGAGCAGCTCCAGGGTTGGGGCACCCACTGCTCTCTGGGTAGCAGTGCCAGCAATCATGTGAAAACTACAGAGTAATCCAGCTGATGCATCTTAAGTTAAGGATCACAACACACTTTGGCACTCTGGTCTGTTAGTTTTGGCCAATGCTTTGGAATATCCTTACTTTATTACTATTATTACTTTATTACTGTTATTTTTGTTAGGGCAACACTAAAAAAAAAGGAAGAAGATGGCAATATTCCTAGTGCTGCAAATGCAGTTACAAAATACACTGGGATTTTTAGGTTGCTGATAGCATCTTCAGAAGCACATCTTGGGAGATGACACAAAACCATCACATGTAACCAGTGTGTTCATGTTTCCAGCTTGTTGAAATTATAACTGGCCCAGTAATCAAATGTAGGGTTTTATTTAAATCAGGCAATGAGGTTCACACCTTCAGCCCCTTACAAAACTGCCCAGCGGTGGTGTGAGTGCTGTAAATCTGAACATAGTTTTCCTAAATGGCTGGCTTTTCTTTATTGCTTTGTAAAGGCTATTTTTTCAGTTAGGTTGTGGACTGCCAGTAGTAAAATTGCTACAACTTCCATGCTGCCATTGGTGTGCTAACCTATGCTGCTTAAATTGCTGGGATCCATGTGGACTCCCTTCTTACACTGCTGGATGTCACGCCCAGATGTTCCAGTCTCTTTTTGGGATGTTCTGTGCTTCAGTCCCTGCCTTTTTTCTGTGCATAAACTCCTCCCCTTCAGAAAAGACATAAAGCAAGTGACTCTTCCACCTGGATCATATTCCTTCCTCACCTGCATGACTGGCTTCACCTCACATCTGCTGATACATAAAGTCTGATTCTCTCTTCTCGTTACAGAGCACTGATTCAGCCCTTGGGCTGTCATTTCTTGGCACTTGCACTGGTGATTTTTCAGGTACTTTACTTCTAAGGTGAGTTGGACAATAACGGGATAAACCTGTATGAGTAGAAAGCGTGAAAGATTCCCAGTGACTGGTAACGTATCATGAAATAGTTTAAAGACTTGGCTAAATGTGCTTCTTTCTCGTGCCTGCAATTTTTCTGTCATCTTTAGAATTGGCTTGAAAAAAGATTTTTGTATTCTTACTTGTCTGTCAAGTTAAAGGCTTCCAAAATGTTTGTTTCTGTCTTTGTGAGGAAGAAGTGGCCATGTAAATGGAACTGGTGGTACTGATGCTGAGTGAATCTACCTAAGGAATTATGTCTTCTGCTGTGCTGGTTCCACCATACCTCACTGACTATGAGACACATCTTTTGCCAGTTAACTTTTGATCTAAGTTTGCTTGGCTTGCTTTCCTTGGAGTTTATTTAAATGATTCCTGACAAATGTTGATGTTAATGTTAATTTAAACATGCCCAAAAATCTACAAAATTTTAGCTACAGCAACATCACAATAGATTTTCTTCTTTCTTGTCTGCATTAAAATTAGTGAGAATTGCTGCCTACTCTGATCTGGTTGCACTTCTCATACTTTTGTGAGCAAGTAAAAAGGCTACATATAAGCTCTTGCATGTACCAAGCTGTATTCACAGTGAGAAGTAATACCTGTGATGACTTTAATCATCTTGGAAATGTTGCTCTTTTTTAAGCTGCTTATATTTATCTCCTATTAGTTTTACAGTCTTTTTAACAGGTAGCTGTGAGTTTATTTTAATGGTAGCAGATTTTTTACAAATTCTGTTTCACTGTCACTTCTAAGTAATTTATCTGTGCCCGGTTATTTCTGTTTGGGGGAACAGAGCCTGGTATGCAGTAAGCAGTGGATGTCACCTCAGTGCTCATGTCCACCAACCTAATCTGCAATAATAAAGGAAAGTCAAGAAAGAAGAAGAATGGTTGAGAATAACTATTCTAATAGAAGAGTTATTAAGAACAATGCAGCTGGCATCTTTAATCCTACTTCTCATCTCAGTAAAAAGAACGGAGTAGTTACAGATCTTGCTTCAGTGTTACTTCTGTCTGTCAGTAACCAAAAGCACTAGAGCGGCTATGCTAAATGGGTGCGTGGTTCTGGTAATTCCATCATCTCAAAAAGGATACAACAAAATGAGAAAACAGACGGGGGCAATGATCATAGTCATGAATGCAGAAGCACTGCCATATGAAGAATATTAAAGCAAGCCACTCTTTTTCATTCTGGAAGCTGAATGAGGGTTGAGAGAATGTGACAGAAGATTTCAGAAATGCTTAGCGGCAGATTCAGAGGGATTCCCATTTGCATTCCTTATGTGGCTACTTGAGGGCACCAAAAGAAGTTGTAGGAGTCATTCTTCATGCAATGGACAATACAACTCATTGCAAGAGGATGTTGTGGATGCTGACTATGTGAATGTAAGGGGAGACTGGATAAATACATGAATGAGAAATTTCATAGATGCTTTCTGTAAGCAGAAAAAGAAACTGCATCCAGCTGTTCCTTGGAGATCCATTTTTACTGCTTTTATAGACAGAATACTGAATATGTGATCATTGTGTTTTCTATGTCTCCAGATGGACCTTATATTTTGGGATATCTTCTAAAAGCCTGTGTTTTTGAAGAGCCAGCTCGAAACCCCAGATCAATTTCTTTTGCTGCTTGCGATATTCCTTGTGGCCAATGACTCAAATAGAAGAAAATACTGCCAAAGGTGTTGCCCAATGCTATTCCATCACCTCTATAAAAGCATTCTATAAAACTGGTTCTATAAAACTGGTTTTCATTGTTGCATGAAGATTATCTCGTATCTAACTGACTGTTGTCACAGCACAAGCAGCTCTGATGATTGAAAATATTAGTCTTCTGTTATAAATTAAACTTAATGCAGTTTAATTTTCCTTTAACTAAAGAGATTTGCTTTAGAATGATGGGATGTTTTCATATTGGTTACTCTTATTTTTTCCCAGGCATGGAGAAGGCAATTGTTCGTCCATATAAAAGGCCAAATGCTCTCTGCAGGCTGATTTGCTTTCCCTGGGCTGGAGGTGGAACTTCTCACTTTGCTCAATGGGGCAAACTCTTCAGCAGCTCAATTGAAGGTTTGTCATTTGTGTAGTTCAAGCAGAAGTTAAGAAAGCTGGGCAGTCTGAATTGCAGTTACCACATTTTTTTAAACAGAATATCACGTTCTTGAGAGCACTGCAATCTTTTTTCCAATGGACCTTATATCTAGAAAGGAATTCCACTAGGAATTCACATTTCCATTAGGATTCTGGATTTACTAAGCTTCTGTACCACCTTGTACCTTATACTTGACTAAGTTAAAAAGTTATATCCTTGGAGCTATATTTCTGGAGGCCATGTAGTATGCTTGCTGCCTCAGAAACTGTTGATAGGATTCAGAAGCAGCAACACAGTGGCATATTGTTAACTGTGTGAAAACAAGACATCAGCGGTGCCTTCTGAAGCAGAAGCCTTATGAAGATCTAAGAAGTACTTTTTATCACTGGGAAGCTGCACAGAATTAATTTATCCAGAGCATTTGCATCATTCTGCACTCCTTGTTATCAAATTTGAAGTTTAAACAATGGATTTATAACAGTGACATTACATTTAGATACAGCGTGAAGCAATTGTCATTGCTGCCAGGCTGTATCAGTGCTAAAATGATCCAATGCTGAACTATTTGAAGAGGAGCCAAGGCCTCATCCCAGACCTTCCAAAAGAAAAGAGGAAGTATTTAGCATTTATGGTGGCCATTGCCATTGCAGTTGTACTGGTCCTCCAATTGCTTGCATGCTTCCTGCAAATTGTTGCATAAGTCACATCTACCTTTCCTAGAAATTAAAAGTAGTAAAAACTTAAAAAGGAAAGGCTTTTGTTCAGAAGGAAATGCTTTCAACGAAGTTACTAAGGAGATAGCCTAGGAACAACTGTAGACCCTGATGGATAGAGGGAGATAGAGGCACACTCTTTCAGATGCTTTAGTTGTCTTAAAAAAAAAGATTAAAAACATGAACATTTTTGTACCACTATCTATGGTACTATGCAGTGGCTTATTCTATCTCTTGTAAAATACTTTGTGTGTTACCCACTACTTTCAGAAATTTCAGGAAGCCAACATTCTTACCGATCTATTTATTTCTTATTTTCTTTAAGCAGTGAGAGACAACTCCAAATTTTTGAAAGGAATGTAATAAAGACATACTACGCTCATTGATTTATGTGATAATTCTGCATTTTTACTGTGCACAGCCCCAAAGAGCCTTCCAAGGGGAACACAGGGACTGTATGATTCTAATAGTTGGTTAGCTTTGTAATGCTGCCCTTGAAAGGATATTCCTTATTGATTTACTTTTAGTGAAATTGGTGGATTTTTGATTGTTATTAGTACTAACAGCAATAAAATTGCTTTAAAACCTCTGCTGAGATCATAAGCTTGTTATCATTTTAAGTGAATTTCTGTCTCAAGGCATTTATAGATTACTCCAGTGGGAGAGGGAACATTTGCAAGAAAAGGAAGGGATGGAGACTTGATCTGTCTTTAATGACAGGATTAAATGATAACAGTAGGAATAGCAAACACAATATACCAACCATAAAGGGATTAATTTACATAACCTGGATATTTTCAGAACTGATGAGAAAACTGAATGAAAATGGCTTTACTGTTTGCACTTGAAATGACTGCAATTCTTTTCTGTCTCTTCCTCCGTCTCTTCTGTAGTGTCTGTTGTAAGGCTTCCTGGAAGAGAAAGTCGCGCTAAGGAGCCTTTTGCAAAAGACATGACAGCTGTCATTAATGAAATAACCAGTGCTTTGCTGAAAGATCTGCAAGAAAAACCATTCGCGTTCTTTGGTCACAGGTGACGTTACATACATACATACATTTTCAGATACCCTGAAGCTCTGTATAGTTATTCGACCCTCTTGGCAAAAACCATTGGCAAATACACTTCTGCAAAGGTTTTGGCAAGCTATACTAAAAGATGCTGCTGATTACAAAGGCTATCTGTATTTATTTGAGATTACTTTTAAATGACTTCAGGTACAATGTCTTCTGAAAATGGCAGTGCTGTGATTTATTTTTACACTAATACATTACAATTGTTTAGTGTTAATATTTGTGTCAACGTTTACTTCTTAATGAATGCATGAGGTGAACCAATCATTAAACGAACATGTTCTGAAAATCTCTTAGTTTCAATTATTCAACATAACTCTCTTTACTGTAAATCTGGGAGACTACTACAATAAATGCAGGCAACAAAGGCCTGATTTGTAAAACTAGCCTGTATTGTATCTTGTGTGAATTAGTTACTTTCACTATAATTTATGTCATAATTACAGAACCATAAAATTCACTGTATTTACAATTTCTGCCATTGTTAAAGATAGCCAGTTAAGCACTAATGTTCAAATTATGTTAATATTTTCCAGATTTTACTTATACTTTTATTACTTTCTCTTTTTGCTGCAGTTTTGGAGCTTACATTAGCTATGCAGTTGCGGTACACTTGAAAGAAAAGCATGGACTAGAGCCGATCCATCTTTTTTTATCAGGGGTATATGCCCCACATGTAAGTTACCAGTGCAAAAGAGAACAGTAGATTAGCTAGCACAAGTAAAACACCTGTGGTATCCTTTTACAGTATTGTATACGTCAAGTGCTTTAAAACAAAGCAAGCTTCAGGCCACATCAGAAAAACGTTCTGATTTCTTTGAGGATGTTAATTCTGAGATGGATGGAGAATTTCAGTGGAATATTTACCACAGCTAACCTTAACCTAGACAGAACAATCTCCTTGATCTTCTCAATACTCTATTGAGTATACTCGATGGCCTTTGGCTTCATATTAAAAAAAAAAAACAACAACAAAAACAAAACATAAACTCCTTTGTAACATGAAAAAACTGTCTTACCTGAGTCTTTTATCAGCCTCCCACACCAGCCCTCAACGCATTTGCCAGTTATTTTTTCTCCTTTTAATCCTTTTTTACTTTCTTAATCTGCCCTCAGTACCCTCTGCTTCTGATTTTCTGGTTGTTCTGCTGGTTCTCTTGGTCTTTCACAGTAAAATAACAGCGACTGGGCTTTTCCCCAGCCCTCCTGTGTTCAGCTGCCATCCGCTGTTTCCATTCTTCTCTTTCTGGGACTTGTTAACAAGCATGCTTGAGCATGAGCTAGTGCTTCATAGAAGTAATTACGAGTCCTGAAAATTGCCATAACTTCTAGGTCACTCCAGCAGTACATCAGTGGGCACTGTGCCCACTAGTTAGGCTTTTCTTCACTGTTTTATTCCTTATATTTCAATAGTGAGAGTCAAAATCAAATTCATTGTTATGTGTCTGAAATTCTCAGTGTTTTTCTCACTTACCCTCAGTTAGCAAACACTGTCTCCTAACCCTCTCTAAGAAGCATTCTCTGCAAATGTTAAACTTATCAGCCACTGATTACTGGTGATAGAGTGTCTTCCAAGTTTTTTACTAAAACAATTCTTAGTGAAAATATTATTTAAAGTGGTGTATAGTATGGTGTACTATTTAATACTGTGGTATTAAACACAACACCTGATCTTTTGTCTGGTGCTCACAGTCTGAAGCATTTCTTCTGATGGGAAAAGTAAATGAAGCAAAAGATGAAGACATTCTTGAACACGTCAAATTCTTAGGGGGAACTCCTTCAGAGTTTCTGAAAAATGAGGACATCAAGAAACACTTGATACTTACTGTAAGAGAAGATGTTAGCATTCTTCAGACATATTCGTAAGTTTTACAATATTGTATGACGTTTATATTTTAAAGCTTTAATTCTGCCTGATCATTTCAGGTAGTTTTTTTTTTATTCCTCTGCAATTTGCTCTGGTTTCTGCTATTAAAAATACGAAACAGTAAACGTAGTTTTCTCCTTAGTGTGTCTTTATGTCTACTTTTTCTGCCATATATGAAAATACTGCTTATGAAACTGCCACTACTATTATTACAGTACTGAATATGTCATGGTAAAACTTGAAGCTAGTCATGCTTCAGGATCACATTGTTCAGCCTTCTGATCCAAAGACCACTAACCTAACCAGAAGCAAAGAATCCCTTTCTTCTAGGAACAGAGAGGAAACTTCCATGCCACCTACTATTCTACAGGTAGCTCACCTAGTGGGTGGCAAAAAGAAGGACCAGCTTTGGCCTTAGGAACCTGAAATATCAGAACTTTAATATAAGTAGAAAGCATACATTTTATTGTCAGGGAGAATTTTCATTGCAGGCTAAAGCTCTTTTTTCTTAACTGTTGGGTCATTTTTTCTTTAAAACTTGAGACATAAGCGCAGTAGCGTAAGGACTTAGGACTCTTACAAACAAAATAATTCCACTTCTTGATGTTCTGCACAATTTAACCCATAAAGTTTTGTTGGTTTTGAGTAGAAAAAAATAGCTATTCTGTGTATAGAGGCAAAACCCAAAACCCAAAGGTATCTTAAGACAGGGAAAGTTATGGTAATAAAACTTTGCTATGTTCACAGTTTTGAGAAGGCAGAAAGGAAAACCATCTTCTCCTGTGATGTCACCTGCTTTGATGGCTCTGAAGAAACAGTGCATGATGCAGAAGGTACTTCGCTTAAAGTTTTCCTTTTCTGGGTAGGCATTTCCCTGCTGTAGCAAATCATTTCATGAACAGAGTTCTCTAGGGTCTTTTATCACCTTCTTAAATAAAACAGAGACACAATGAAATGCACAGAAAGCCGTTGATGAGGGATTTAAAGCAATTACTAAATAATTTTGAAGTGGTTACATAAGATGACCAGAATAGTTGACATTTCTGACACTTTAAATATCTTTTTCAGCCTGGCTCAATATAACCAGAGGAGATACTTCCATTTACAGTCTTCCTGGAGGTCACTTTTATCTGCTGGAACCTTCTAATGAAATTTTCTTGATAAAACACATAACCAAGTGTATAGAAAATGCTGCTCTATGAGTATTTCCCTCTATTTTAATAGCAGGTGTAAGATTAGTCTACAGCACTTAATTATTAAGTCATTCTTTCTGCTGAATTGCATTGTTATGCCTAAAAGTTACTCTGTTCCTCCAGATCTTCACTGTGATTCTTTAAAAGCGTTTAAAGAGTTGTTCTGATTTTTGAAAATAAACTCTAGCTTTGTGTCTTAAAAATAAAACACTTTTCATCTTTTCCCTCTCTTGTCATTCAGCACGTGCATAAACCCTTCACTTTATTCAACATTAGCTGCAAAAAGTGATAGCTATTATAAGTTATTTTACCTTAAGAACTTCTCTGTGTACTGTAAAAATGCTAAATATGATTTTATACAAAAAAAAAAAAACCAAAAAAACAACTCTTACAGAAGTATTTATTTCATAGGCTCAGATTTAATTAGAGTAAGATACAGTCTAAAAACATAGTATGCATGTGAACACCTTTCGCACTGTGGTGGCTCATGCGTAAATGATGTTACTGTTAGATTACACAATAACCAGTTAGTACTGCGTTTTCTTCTGCAGAGTTACTTCATTAACCACTGAGAAGACTCAGAGTGTAATGTCTGAGTATTCTAAATCCCGTATTTTTCTATCATTGCTTTTGCTTTAGAAATATAGGCATTCATGGCATCCTCCTTCGATATACCTGCAAAGAAAAGGAGGAGTCATTATCTTTTCTTATTTGCCATCCCGTTGAAGTTATTACATGAGGTAAATTTAATTGCTGTAACACCTCTTTTCAGGTTCCATGCCTCCCATTTGGCTTTGCCTTTCATATCTAACGTTCCTGGACATTCTGCCAAAATAAATGCATACCTTCATTAATTATCATGCAGATTTATAAAACATTTTCTTGTTTCAAGATATGGGGTGAATTGGATGTATATATGGGAACAGAAATACCAATATTAATATCTCCAACAGTAGCTTGTTTGTATAATCCATAGAGTTCCTTCAGTTCTTCATCAGTTGGTCTTGTTTTCAATTTTTTAACATCTTCTGCAGCCCCATCAAAGTCAGCCTAATGCAAAAGGAATACATAAAGTATTAGTCTGCCTCTGAAAGTGTGTGTTTAAAATATTTATTATAGCAAGCACACTAGTTCATTAGATGGTTTCTATTACTCATATGTTTAGCAGCAAGTCTAGGATTTTCCCATGAAAAAGGTTTAATAAAGCCTTTAATAAACCAATGGCAGCACAGGGTCAGAACTCAGGCATTCAAGGCCTAAGATTTTGGTTAGCCCTGCAGAGGTCAGGCAGGGGGACTCGTTGGTCTTGTAGGTCCCTTCCAAGTGAACCACTCCATTGTAAAACAAGTATTTCATTCTTAATCCCAACACCAGTAGACTCAACATACCTGACCCCACGGATCAGCAACTTACACCACCAGCACCTCTTTGTATTACCCGTACACACAAACAACAGCAGCACTCACGCTCGGTCACCAGCAAGAGGAAGAATGGGCATCAGTATCAATACACAATCAAGTTGCCACAACTGACTGAAGATTACATAAGTTTTATCTTCATCTTTACACTGTGGCCACTGCTGTGTGTAAAGCCCTGCCAGGGCAGAGATAGAAGGACTATTCAAGTTGGTGGAAACCTCCTTTATGCAGAGATGTTTTCCAAACTAACGGCACAACAAGAATGACCTGGAAGCATTAGACTTGTACAGACAAAAAAACTAAACAAAAAAACAACCCACAATAGGGATGCCATTACTAGCTACTTATTTTTCTATACTTTTATTCTATTTGAATCTGTATGAAATATCACAAGCCAGTGTTTAAAAAATACGCAATGCAAATCTTTGTCAGCAATAAGTGCATGGAAATGAAATTTCAATGTCAAACATGCTTCTCTTCATCTCCCTCAATCCAATCATTGTGCACGGATTTTGCTTAGGATTTGCTTGCTTATACAACACGCTTAGCCTGTAAAATATAATATCCTTTAATCACGAGCTGATAGAATTTCCCTCTCACTCCTCAAATCAAAAGCAGAAGTGCATCTATAGATTATATATACATATGCAGATATAGATTTACACACATGCATTAAAGATAAACGCAGAAATTATCGGACTGTTATCACATACAGTGATAATGAAAGCAAAGAAAGAAGCCGGAATGAACTCTTCATCCTCAGTTTGCAAAACTCAGAGATGTTTCAGAGTCTTCCTGCTAAAACACTGCTCTGCTCACTCCGCCCTCACTTCCACACAGACCGAGTCAGTGACTGTAAGGGATGCGGGTGGCAGCTGTTTACCAAAGCGGTAATGGGTGGTAAGCATCTATAAGGTCCTTCTAACAGCGATGCGCGGCTCAGTTCTTAAATATCGGGGCTAACGCGGAATTCAAGGCAGAATACAGCAAACTACAACGTCCGCCGATGAAAAAAAGCTGGCGTTCCGCTCGGGACTTGGCAGCCCCGGCCCACGGAAGGAGCGGCTCAGAAGGAACAACGAACCCTTTGTGCCGCCCCCCGCAGCCGCAGCTCAAAGCGCTGAGCTCTGCCAACCGCCCCGCGCCGGGGCCTCACAAACGGACCGAGCTGAGGCAGGCATGGCAACGAAGGCAGGGTAAAGGGCCGGAGGATCTTAAAGCGAAAGGGAGAACGGAAAACCCCATAGAGAATAACGGCCAAACCCGTCCTGGCACGGGCGAGGCGGGCAGCGACACGTGCCGCAGCGCTGGAAGGCAGCAACGAAGGCGGTTCCTTCAGGAGCCGCTGACGCGTGGAGGCAGCAGCTTTCCTGCCGAAACGCCGCTTAAAGCGTAGCACTCCAAAGATGCGCACACCCTAAAAACTCCCTTAAAATCTGCACGCTTCCCACAAGCACACGCACACCTGGGCTCAGCGCTTCCCCGCCCCGTGCCACCTCCTAACGACGAACCCATCCTAACAGATGGAGCGCGCCGAGCAGCGCGTCTCCTCCCGCCGCCGTTACGGCGCCCGGGGAGAGCGCCCGCCGGGCTGCGCGCAGTAACGCGCTGTTCCGAGCCCGAAGCTGAGTTCCGTGCCGGGAGGTCGCGGCCGCGAAGGCCGAAGAGCCGCCGCCCCCCCGGCTCACCTGCAGGGCCATGGCGCGGCGAACACGCGAAGTCCGGCCTCTCCTGCAGCGCGACGCGGTGCTGCCGCAGCCCGCCCCTCGAGGCCGCACGAGATGGCGAGCGGGCGGCGACCTCCCCGCGGGGCTGCGCTGCCGTCACGGGGCGGCGGGGCGCTGGCACGGCCGCCGGGAGCTGCGGTGCCTCGTCCCAGGAGGCGCTCGGGGCCGGGTTGGACGGGCCCTGGGCCAGCCCAGGCGGCGGGGGGCAGCCCTGCCCGTAGGGCTGGATGGGCTTTGAGGTCTCCTCCAACCGAAAGCATTCCGCAGCCGCCGGCGTCACGGCGCCGTTACAGCGCGAGACCCGCTCCGCACCGAAGTCACCGTGAATCGCCGACCGGCCAGCGCACCGTCAGCTCATTACCTCGCGTGCGACGAGGCACGCCTATTCCTTACCCGCGAAGAGTACCCTGCAAAAGAACTTGCGGCATCGTTAGAATTAACAAACGCCGGCTACCAAACCCGGTAGGCGGCAGCGCTCCGCAAGCAGCTCCGTAGCACCGCGGCTGCCCCCGCCCGGCGGCCCTGGAGCACGGCGGCGGACGGGGCGGGCGTGCGCCGCAGGGGCGGGGCGGGCTCAGCGCCGGGCGGGTTCGGGCTGCCGGCGTGCTCGGGTCGGCCCGGGCCGCGGCGGAGCGCTAGGCCGAGTGGGAGCGCGGCGTGGCGGCCGCGCTGAGCGGAGCCCGGGTGCGCTCCCTTCCCGTCCGCACGACGCGTTTTCAGGACGCTGTGGTGGCGCCGCGCCTTAACTGCGATCTCTTTCTTCTCGTCAGGAGCTGGCGGGAGGCTTTCACGAAGACTTTGGAAACCGGAGTTTTCGAATGGAGGTAAATGTTGGAAGTGTTCGCGTTGCTCGTCTCTGCTGGCAGCAGTCGGTCCTGCAGCCGATACGCGTGGAAGAAATTGTTTTTTGCTTTTTTGCCTCGGCAGTTTAATTCCTGTGCCTACACGCTTGTTTTCCTCGGGAGCGTCCATTTTGAAAAGACAAACGCAGGCTTCTTCACCGTAACCTTCTCTTAACACTGCTACATGTACGATGCCTGTGAGATTTCTGGTAGCAGCTGCACAGGTCGCAGTGCGCTGATGAGCTCTGCTCAGTGCCCTGGATGTGGTTTAGCTGAAGGAAAATCCCTCGGGCAGACGTTGCTTTGTGGCAGTGCATACGGTGGGGGGAATTTCAACAGAGATGTTTCCTTTTTTAAAAGCAAGTAGCCTACTATCAGTATGCAGGGAATTGATATGACCAAGAAAATGGTTTCTTGTAAATATCTAAAAAGGTTGCCGCTGAAGTAATGTACATAATATTTCTACTTACGGAAGGAGGGAATCTAAGGGGAGCCATGTCTGTTTCTCCTGAGTTGGCACTGAGTTCTGTTGGCTGTGCTGCAGTAAAGCAGTTTGGCAAAGAGATGCTGAACAGTAACCCAAGCACGAGTATGGGGACTTAGTGAGTTAGCAGGGCTGGTAATCAGAGCATGCCTTCACTTGGACTGGGTAGATCAGAACTAGAACAGTTATCCTTTCTTTGCTCCAGTTTGATTTTTTTCATAACCTTAAAGGCACAGCCCAGTTGATGCAAGAGTAAAAGAACCCTTTTAAATTTTGCACGGCCTGCAGAGATTGCCTTCCTTCAAGGAAATGGGCTCTGCAGCCTTCTATCATATCTTCTAAATGCAGACAAATGTAAGACATAGCTAAATATGACAAGGCAAATGAAAATTAAAAAAAAAAACAAAACTTTATCCTAAATGAATTCAGAAACTTGGAGCTTGTTTCATCTTGTGATTCTGCAGCTTTTTCACATCAGGATAGTTCTAAAATGCAGCAGTGCAGCAGTGAAAACTGGTCTTTCAGAATTTGAGGGTTTTTTTGTTTGGTTGGTTGTTTTTTGTTTTTTTGTTTTGTTTTTGTTTGTTTGTTTTTTGTTTTTTTTTTTAATCTGTGGAACCTCCTGCTACTTTCATTCAGTTTCAGCTTCAGAAGGTGTTGACTTGCTGGAAAAAAGCAAGCAACTTGTGCCTTGCCGAAGGATTATTAAGGATTAGTACTGAGCTGGCATGAAGATGATTGCTGCCAGTATCACTTTGAGCTGAGATGCTTCTCTTCCCTGTTCCCAAGACGAGCCTCTAGTAATGAAGCCCACAGCAAATAGCGCAGGATTTGAACGACTCTTTGCCTTTTTCTTCCTTCCCTCCACAGCTAGGTGGCGAAATAGAACAGAACCTGAGGACGCCTGTAATTCCACAGGGGACGGCGTCGCTTCGTAAAGCAAAGAAAGCCACTGTAAAAACATGTCTAGATAACCCCTTTGTTATTCAGTGGAAAGCCATAGATGGAGATGGTATGCATTTCATATTACAGACCTTAGAAGAAAAGATTAAATGTATTGGACTTAAAAAGATAGAGACTCCAAGAAAGAAAAAACGTTCAGTTACAAAAAACCAAATGGAAAGCAAGCGTGATGCTAGCAACAGTGAACTCCCTGCCAAAGGAGAAACAGAAGGCCATCAGCAAGCACCAGGATGGACTGACACGGGCATCAGAAGACAGCTTGCTATTGGAATTAATGAAGTTACAAAAGCATTGGAGAAAAATGAACTGCTTCTCTTGCTGGTGTGCAAATCTGCAAAACCTGCCATGATCACATCCCATCTTATTCAGCTGAGCGCAAGTCGAGCCACTCCAGCAGGCCAGGTTCCCCGCCTCAGTGAAACGGTAGCACCACTTCTTGGCTTAACATCCATTTTAGCACTAGGCTTCAAAAGGCAGTCTGATAAATTTACTGACGTAGTAGAAGCAATAATTCCAAAGATACCCCCTTTGGAAGTGCCATGGTTTCAGTACCAAACTGAAGGATCCGCACTGTGTGCGGAGTTGTCAGAAACTGATGAAGCTGAGCAGCTTGCGGAGACGCCGGAGGAGGAGCTCTCAAGCCAGAAGCGGAAGCGTACAGAAAGCAATCAGCTCGATCTTTCACATGTAATTTTGCAGCCTTTGAAAATCAAGAAAGTTGTTCCAAATCCAAATAAGATAAAGAAGCCACCTCGCAGAAAGAAAAAAGCTTTTTCAGCATAACTGATTTTAGTTCAGTCCTTCAGATTACAGTGATTTTTTTTTACTGCCTATGCAATACAGCTGTAACTGAACTACTCTGTTAAGCTTTAACAGTGTAAAGCAGTTGAACTCAGGGTTAACTCATGTATGATGCATCCAGGCGAGGTTCTCTTTGCTTTAATAAAGAATATGGCTCAAACTTGTGTGTGAGCCCCTATCTGGAGATAAACATTTCATTTGCAGCTGGAGATCACAAAGTTGAAACCATTAATGAGCATCTTGAAGTAATTTGAGGATAACAAGCACATCTTTAGAATAAATATAAAGTGCTAAGCAAACTTTGTATTTTTTTTTACATGAACATGCTTCAGACAGAACTGATTCAAATTAATGTCATTACGCATAAAAAAAAATCAATACCAAAATTGAAAGTTTATTTAAACAAGGTCCATGCCAGTATAACTTTTAAAGCTGGTTCAATGCTTGTTTCAAGTAAACAGCTGTAACAGCACAGGCAGACTTCCTTTCTGAGCTTTTGTTCTTTTCTCTGCTGAACAATAAGCTTGTTTTGGTCAAGAATGTATGCAGGTTTGGACTCCAACTCTACCTGTTGCCTGATATGCTGAAGGAAAAATATTATTTTCATACACGGAACAAAATACTGCTGCATTTTTGAAAAACAAACTTCTATATGCAAACTATTAACGCACATATCCCATGAGAAAACAAACTAATCTACACTCAGTTTCTAGATGGTTTCTAGATGGAGTCTAAAATTATCATCCAGGAAGTTCAGATATGCCATGTACCGTTGAATGTAAAGTAGCAGATGACAGCTATAGTCACTATAACAGACTAAAAATCTTCAGTTTCCTTTAGTTTTGCTGATGACTATGAACAGTTTCTTAATGAAACTGTTTTGTAGGAAGGAAATAAATAGTGCTGCAATTCAAACTGCAAGCAAAATGGATAGTGCAGGAATTTATTTGGCACTCTGTAACTAATAATCAATACTGTGGTACTGTAAAAGAGCTGAGTTACTTTGTTGTTCCTCAGAGATAGAATTTACACTCTGTATGTTTCAGGGTTCTGCTAATGCAGTCTTCTGGTGCTATCAGCTAGTTAATCAGCATTTGGGGTTTATTGAGAAGTGACTTAAATTCACAGTTCTGACTATGAAGGGAGGAAGTAGCAATGATTCTATTGTCATGATGCTCCATGTAAACAAAGCAAACATTTAATGCCAAAATTTTGCCCTCCTTGCTGAGTGGCAAGGAGATGATTATTTTGCCTTCTTCATAGTCCTTCACAGAGGTCATTTACTTTGGCTTTTTAGATGCATAAAATTGTGAAGGCATGCTAGAACCTAGTGTAATTAATTCCTGTGCTGGCTAATTGTAACATTTAGCTCTTATGCTTTCTGTAAAGACCGAGGATTAGGCTTTGGTAAAGAACATAAGCACAACAATCACTTATCAAGCACCTTGCTGCCTGTCCAGGTCTACAGCTCTCCCAAGGGATTTGGGTCCCCTCCACAGATGCAGTTACTTATTTGCAGATGTTTCTAAAGACTTGTGGGAAATGTGGTAGAGTGAGCCTTTCCATTGCCTTCATCAACTTTGCCAATTTTTGTGAAACCACCTGTTAGTTTTTTGCATTTTTACCTGTTCACCATTCCTATCAAGCCTACTGCACATGCATGTTCAACACCTGAAACAAAACAAGAGCCACTGTCAGAGCTGACAGCAGCACCCACACCAACACCCTGCTTAGGAAGTGAAGGTGGGTTGTCACAATTTCCACTCCTGAGTAATTGCCAGGACACCTTTTGAGACTCACACTCTCTTGAAGCTATGATACTTCAACAAAGCACTTGAGGTAAGAAGCATGGCTAGCCATAAGTTGAGCACTTGGCAGGGACAGACCTTTTCGGATTAAACAGCTGTTAAGCAACAGTTTTGTGAAGAGGCTTCTCCAGGAACTGCCCCAGCTTCAGCTCAGCTGCCCCGTTTCCTCACCCTCTCTGGGCCTGCAGTTTTTCAGTCGTAGCTACAGCACCGCAAAGCTTCAGCAGGAGCACAGCTCTGCCTCCTTTCCCACAGTCAGCATGCAGCTGGAGCCAGAGGACAAATTTGCACCCCTCAGATTCATTGCTTTTTGGATAATATGGCAAAAGGGAGGAATGGCCACACACCTTCATCATAGGCAGGCAGCCTGAGATCAGGGCAGAAAGCCAGGCTGCCAGAAAACCAGGTTCAGTTCTGTCTTTGGCCTAGGCATACTTGGTCCCACCACGGCCTAACAGCTTTTCCAAACAATAGGACTGTGGGCATTTGTCTCTTGATTTCAGAGAAGAGAGGAGTAAAGAAAAACAATCATCTACCATCTCTTCCACTTGTAAAATGAGTGCATCATCCTGCCTGCATGCCATCCACTCACGGAGCAGCAGCCTGCTGGGCCATGGCTGTTCCTTACCAGGGCGCAGGGCCACGCTGAGCGGGGCGAAGAGCAGGGAGGCCCTGCCCTTAGCATGAGGCAGGAACACCACATCCTGCTGTCAGCTTCCTGCACATCCCGGCATGCTGCTCACCTTCTGGGAGTAAAGAACTTAGTCTTTGATGAAGTTGGGATCGGTTATCTATACCAACAATTACATTTTCAGGCACTTAATTCTGCTCAAGCTGCACATAGGGAGTCAAAACTTCACCTGCAGGGTCTCCTGTGACTGCTATTAGCAGACAGGTAGAGAAGGGCAAAGTTGCAAAGCCTGACTCCACTGCTACAAGTCCCAAAAATCCCCTTCCGAGCCTTTCTATTCACCAGGCCCGAGCTGATGAGCACAAAGGGAGCAGACAAACCACCATCAATCCCTTCCTTTGTGTGAAGGAAGCAAATGCTTTAAGCACAGAGCTATAACACAGGAAGGGAAACTATCTCTGTTCCCAGGGCAGAATTTTCTCACTGTTCAACAATAAAAAGAATTCCAAAGCACAAACCATTCACACAGGGAAAATGGAGGGGAGAGGGAAATCCCCACTGCTATTTGGAGGTGGCTAGGGCTAGCAGTTATGAAGAACAGACAAATTTATCTTCATCTAAATTGATGTTTTCAGGTACAGAATTCAGCTTTCAGCAGAACTTGCTGTAAGAATTACAGGCATGTTTAAAAGGAAAGTTCAGACATTTGCATTTCATGAGATATTTGAGTCACATTCAAAATATGCTCACAGCACAGAGGCTTCACTACCACAGTTTGGCACTTTCAGCTAGAACAGTTTCTTACTGCAGATTTTCTTGGTGCTCACATTACTGCAGCATCCATGAACGGAAAGGACTGCTATCAAATCTAACTACGATGCTATGCTGGAATGCATATAAAGTGCTTCAGAAGCCATTCTGGTTGCCGAGCATTGGAGAGGGAGTTACAACAGCTTACCCAACAACAAACATCAGCCCTCTTACATTTCAGGAAGCAGAGCACACAAGCTTCCAAGGACTGAGGGTAGAGCTTTTCTCTTCTGCTTACCAGCCACATAGAAAGCAAAACTTCTTGTTCCACAGTCAGGATAAAAACACTACCAGGAACAATTTATGAATACGTATTTACACAAGATACTTTTCATTAGAATTACAGACTTCATAGGAAATCAAAGTAGACAAAGGAATATGTGCAATTTTGCAGAAGCATTGAAAACATTCAAACTATAAATATCCTGATAGCACTACTTAAATTCTTAGTTTTACACACAGGCTGATGTTACTCTACTGAGGAAAAACTAAGGTTTTGTGCCACAACTGTAAATTAAGTACAGTAACGTATTATCATTCCGGCAACATAGGTAACACCTGCACTGAACAGTGCAATACTGTTAAATCAATCCACTGATCTATTGAAGATCAAAATACAAATCTGTATTTTTATTGATTTGGCAGCGTTGCTTATGGAGAAACAAATGCACTAGTTAAACCAGTACATTGTCATACTGCTCCAGTTACAAAAAACATCCAGGACTTTCATAGAGCTACAAACGTATCATACTTCATGATTTTTCCCCAAATGATGATATCCACGTGAAGTAAATATAGCAAAGATACTCGAGTTTGTATCCTTCATTCTGTTACACTGACAAACATACACCACCACTTAATAAATAGAAATGCAGCAGTTCATCCACATAATAGCAAATATTTTTGTACCCTAATCCACCACTGAAGTTCAGTTTATACAAAACAGTCTTTTCTACAGAGTGGAAAAAAAAATACCTTCTTCTCATCAAGGTGCAAGCTAAGCTTTGAAACTTAAATGAATGTGCTTTTATTCTTTTCATGGACAATAAAAGTTTCAAGGACCTTCTGATTTATCTGAAAATGCATAAATTTGGTCACATGTGGATTTCTTCATCGTTCAGGTTTAATGGACTATTTCAGTATCACTGACGTTGTGCTTTTACTCCTCTTGAACAATATCATTCCAAGAGTTATGGAGATCAAATTAATTCAAATGATGACCTCAGAGTTCTAGAAACATGTGTCCTCATTGTAATACAAGACCAACCTAAAGGAAGAATAGAAACGTGGCATTTTAGTTTATGTACAGCAATAAATCTAGGCGTTCTTCGTTTTCCGCGCTGGAATTATGGATCTTAAATATCCCCAATTAAAACAGCTATTTTAAAACTCTTCTCATTTTGGCCAGTAGATTAAAGTATTACTATCCTAGCAGATTTCAGAAGCTCTTTTTTAAATCCCTTACCTTTTCAGATTCCATGCCAGGACACCTCCAGTTGTACAAATAATACTGCAAATTTCCATCTCCAATCCCAAACTTGAGTTTTTCCAGGAACGTTTTGTTTTCCATCAAGTCTAGTGCATTGAACACATCAAATCCTTTCTGGCAATAGCAAAACATTTTAAAAGTTTTAATGTTTCAAATGGCACAGAAATGACAGTTTCCATAGTTGGCACATCCAAGAGACTAATCAAATTAAGTTGGGAAAAAAAAAGATATGGGAATAAATCTTTTAATTAGATACATACACAAATTTTCCCAGTGGAAAGTAATACACAGCTTTGCTTTAAGATTATTTCCAAAAGGGTAGTTAGCAATAACCAAAGCACTGGTGTGTTATCAACACTGTTTTGGCTGCAAATACAAAGCACAGCTCCAGATGGGCTGCTATGATGAAAGGAAACTCCATCCCAGCCAGACCCAGTACAAAGGTAGTGATGTGAGGTATATATAAACAAAAAGCTATGGTTAGGAGTGCACTTATCATTTCTCTTCTCCTGCCTCTTCTCTCCTCATCTGAAAGTCCCAGTGCCAGACCTGCAAATGTACTTAGGCACTTAATGATTGTAGACAGACTCAACAGGTACTTTGAAAATCCACAAGCAGCTTAATCTCAGTATTTTCACTGCATGATGACACTTTTTAAAAAAAGCATCATGCGACACATGCTAAGAGAAACATAGATGTGGGATGATAGGATGGCCTTACAGTTAGACCATTCCATGGCTCATGACCCATTCAGTAGCCTGCTGTATGGCCAGCCACTCAACGCCCCATGCTACACTACCACTGGAGACCAACCTTTATATCTTTCACTTGACTTTTAGAAATATGTAGTATGCGTAGGCACTTCTGAAAACTATACTAATACCTGTATCTTCATATTTTTCAATACCTTTGAAAGCCTGTCTTTAAACTTCCTTTGGTTTTACAGTGGAGCCTGAGCAATGGGGTTCTGTATTGCCTGTGACTACCCAGGAGATCTCTTTGCCAAATAGTTACCTGACTCAATACTGTTTATAGCTCAAACAAACCTCAGCAAGTAGTTCATGTCATAGACATTAGCTCAGCTGCAGTGCTGCATAGCTGAGAGACAGAAGATGAAGACTATGGAGTTGCTTTCATGCTGAAGTCTGAACAGATACAGCTTTTGCAGTCCACAGGCTTTATAAAGGATCGGTGCAGAAATTCCTATGCCTCATCTGGAGCACAGACAGGCAATGGCTCTGAACAGGGTCAGATGGAACACACTTAACATCTCCCTGAATTGAGCAGTCATCTGCTAGCTGTAACATCACAGCACCTCAGCTGGCAGAAGCAAGCTTCCAGCAGGAGGAGTACAAAACATGCTGTGCTCTGCACTGCGCTAGGAACTGCTGCTGCAATGGATACCATGGACTGGACGTGCAGTGCTGTTAACTGCCAGCTCTAAATAGGTCTCTGAGAACCCAGAGTGCTGGGACCTACACAGCTCTGTCCACAGACTACAGCACCATGATGTTTGTGCCATACTGCTGTGGAACCCCGATGATTAAAGGTTTCATCAGACAGCACTAAACCCTTATGTTTAAAAGCTCTTCTAGTCTCTTCCCTTCCATTTAACTAAATCACATACCAGTTATTCCATGTACAAAACAGTGCTTAAGAATTACATGACATTATCTACATTAGTTTACAGGCAGCAGATCTTAACAAGATAAAAGTTGGAGCACAGACTTTTTCATTTTGTAGAAATGAAAAAAAAAAACACTTCATTTAATTATTTAATAGAACTTGTTAACACATCCAAGGGAAAAGATTTTAGTGATACTTTTCATTCTTCTGGTACTGAATGAATATGGTCACCAGTGTGCTCTTGGATACTTACATAGTTAAAGCTATTGCAAATGCTCTGATCTTATGCACTTATCACTTGCTAACATTACTCAAAGTAAAAAGGAAAAGCAAACATAGTGTTTCATATTTCAATGTCTACTAGTCTCATCACATGCATTCTGATCTGTGGATATTAAAAGACAACAGAATGCAATGGAATGCATAAATTACTGACAGTTTTTACCTTGCCATTACTCCTGAGAATACTTTCATGAAAATAGCAGAAAAAAAAATACTTACCAACTTAGCTATGATGAGTGCATCATTCATTAAGTCCAAGAGGGGGGTCTCTGTATGAATATTGTAAAAGGAATAGGCAGCTTTCAGGCTTTTATGAACAGGATGGTGCATCACTGTTGAAGGTAATGTGTAGAAACTCAGGAAGTCTGTTAAAACACCATTTGAGCCCTAAAAAATACAACAAAAACATAGTCAACAAAATAAAAAAAATAGTCAACTAATAAATAACCACTCAGTTGATGAGTGTGCAACGCAGCACAGTTTTGTACATCATACATTCTGTAAGAGACAGGATTGGCTAAGAATGGAAGAAACGGAATCACTGACAAGGATGTATTGATACATCAAAGTGAGACTGCAGTCAGAAATGGTCACTTCAGAAAAGGACACAAATATTTAGATTCTTCTACTCTATTACACCAATAACATTTTGGCAACCAACGGTCAAAGCATTTGTTTCCCAAGCTTGTCTTACTATAAACAAAGATAACAAAACACACTTTCCTCCCAAAAATATACATATAGAAAAGTTCTCCCAACTGAACATATTTTTCTTAAGATTTTTTTTAACCTGATGAAGTTCACATGGAGAAACCATTTTCTCAACTTTCTAAAAATAGAAAATAATTACTTTGCATGTATACAAAGCATATTCAGATCAGCTCTTGTGACTGTTAATCAGCAAGTCCAATCCATTTGCTAGACAACAGTGCTAAATTACACTGAAATTCTAATAAAACTAGTAGTCATTAAAAAAAGGTAATCAGACAAAAATCCAAAATATCCTACAGAAACTTGCCTAATATTTAATGAACATAATGAAGTTTAACTATTTGCAAGAGTGCATGCAATAGGAAATAATTAACACATGGGTTATAACTGACATGCTCAGCACAAAGAATACTACTCAGACTTCCACTGTTCCCTTTCTGATCATGTTTCATGATTCCTCCAAGAAGATAAGAGTTCACAAGCACCAGAATTGTGTCTCCTTTGCCTTCTTTAATTTCTGGACTTGAATTCACCAACACAGATTAAAAAAAACAACCCAGAGGATGAAAAGGTGGTGAAGAGAACGAAAGAGGAGCAATAAATCAAATTAGACCATGGAGCACTAGATCCACTGCATAGTAAGAAGAAAAGTAACTCTGGACAAACATGACTGATGAGCAGCACCTCTTATCTCCAGCTGCAGCAAGTTTCTAAATTCAGCTGAGACTCCTGAATGAATTCACACTGCAGTGTGGAAATGCTGACAGCTGCTACTTGAAGTTTCTTTGAAGATGTCCTAAGTTTAATAATTTCAGTGCTGGTCATTTGAAGTAACCTTATCACTTCAAACAAAGCACTTCACTACCTGAAAATGATGGTCACACCTGATACAGCATGGAGCCAAGGGGAAAAGTGCATCTTCCTCCACTAGCTTAATCACAGCTACCTCCAACCACTCCTTGAGGATTTCCAATCCAGACACTACCCTACTCCTGTACTGCTTATTCTGTCACAGGTGTTGTCACCACAATTTAGGCTGAGGGGAGGAAGCAGCACATAATCATTTAGGAACCAAAAAGAACTGAACTTCTAGTTGACAGCAATTCACCAAAGCACCAACACACAAACAAACACACATAAAATCATAAATATTAATACAGACATTATTTTTAAAATATATATTTTACTTAAGCAGACTACAAAAAAATGCATACAATTCCCACATAGCAGGTGTTGCTAAAAATTGGTTTTAATGAAGTAAAAAATGTTGAATTGACATATTGCAGAAACATATCCATCATCCGTGCGAATTAAACTGAATTCAAACCAGATCCTTTTATCAGTCATTGACTCATTTTTCTAGAAAAGCAGATCTGAAGACCATTACTTAGTATTGGACAATTACTGTCACTTCTCTAGAGAAGTAACAGGGATCAGGGAGGCACACAGAGTGTGGGAAGGTTGCTTTTGAAGATGTGTAAGGTTCTTTGACATAAAACTTCCAAAACTTTCAAATAATATTTTGAGATTTCAAAATTCTTCTTTAAAAAACTGTAAGAGCACTGCAGTTTATGACATTCAAACAAGCATTTCCTAACTATAAGAATGCAATATGAAGAACAAAACTTGGAGTCATGATACAAATCTCAACTGCATTTCAAAAAACTTGATGCTGATAATAATTTTTCACAAGCAGCATTCACGTGCATGTTCTTGAGGTAGTTAGGGAATGTTTTACCTCTACAACAAAAGTGTCAATAATATGTTCCCGAGGCAGGAACCAATGGGCCACCTCTTCTTCATCCATCACAGGAGCAAGATTAAACTGCTTCAAGTAAGTGTTGATTAATTCTTGTACTGCTTTAGTATCTTTTTGTTCCATTGGTCTCAAACCTGAAGTTTTTGTAGCCTTATGTAAGAAAGAAAAATAAACGTTAAGATGTCGAAAGGAAGACTGCATACACAGCAAGGTCTAGAAATAGGCTGCACAATCATTCCACTTGCTCTAATGCATTCATTATTAGCCTACTTTACCCTAGCCACCTAATTCATTATGCTACTTCACAAACTGCTTTCAATCAGAATTCCCCCTATTCTAATTATTGAGACAGTCTGGGGCACTTCAATCTTAATATTCCAATACTGAAGCAACTTTATTTCTCCAGAGAAGGAGATACTACTGCCAGCAGCCCAGGTTTCACACATTTGAATTCCAATGTTTTTTTTTTTTTTTTGCAGGTCAATCAGTATTTATCTTCTTCTAAACTACACAGAGCCCAGGTACAGAAATAAAACATGAAATAACTTACACATCAGAAGCTAATCTGAAGATAAGAACCCCTGTGATTCAAATTTAAAAATATTAGTCAAGCTATAAACTGAAGTCAGATGATAATGTTTAATTAGAAATCTTTTAACACAAAATTCCACCTTTTCTTAATGCTTGTAAACTTGCTTTTGCCAACTCAAATTTTTATATACACCCAATCACAATTTACCAGGAAAGCTGCTCATAACTTCAAGCTTTCTGAAATTAAAAAGTTACAGTATTTTAACAAATATTGCAGTTTACTTGAATGTAAACATTGGAAGAGGAAAAACTGTTTTCTGGTACTATGTGATTAACTTTTAAACGAGCAAAGATGGCTGAAGTTTTCTTCCCAGTTTTTATTAGCTTTCTTGACTATTTCCTTTCAGGAAGAGAAAGGCTTATTCTCCTTCAGAGCTCGTTTCTCCTGCTTCATCTGTCAGAGCCACATAGTTCAGCCTGTACCACATTAATCATAGCAAAGTCAACTGCAAGAGCAGCCAGGTAGTGACTTGATTACCGGAAGCCTGAAATTAGTGCAGCTGATTACATCCCACTTAAAAAGGAGTTATTCTGAGGGAGGTTTTTATTCGCATGCTCTGGGATTCAGCTAGATAAAAAATTAAGGCACGTTTTGCCACAGTCCCACATTGGGTTTAGTCTAACTGCTTTCCTGAGATGGTGTTGTGACAGCACAGCACCTTTTGAAGAATTTTAAGTGCTCTGAATCTGTAAGGAGAATTACCCTTCATATACTGTATTTTGTTCACAACCTTATGAACAAAATGAAAGATTAATCTCTGCTCCCCCCAAGCCTTTGTTTTCTAAAGCTATATGCTGGAGCATGAAGGGACAAAAAGCAGTTGGGCCGGAACATCTTTAGAAGCACTTAGAATGGCCAGCTTAAGTGATTATTTACAGCTGCAGAAATGGAGAAGAACTTCCAGAATAGGGCTAAATTGTATTTCTCTGCTCCAAAAATTGATCTGCCTTGGGCATATTCCCACATGAGTATTCTAGCTCAGAGCTCAGTCAGAAAGAGATATACAAACACACTCCCATCCTTATTCAAGCCAAATTTTCTCCCTTTCAGAAAACTCTTTGCTTAAGAGACTGAACACCACCCCCACCTACTTTTTTAATGTACCTATAGGTTTATGCACAAACGGTCTTCAATTAGGGTGATACTTCAATGATGTAATTACTGTATTTCCTCTATTATTTCAGGAAACCTTTTCAGTTCACACTTTTTGTGATTAGGATTAATTCCTATTAAAGGGAGATAAGCTCCCAGTGGCAATGATATTTCAAGGACTCTAGGAAAGAGGTCAGAATGCAAGAAACACTGGTGCTGAGGGACATTAAAATGGTGGTTAGAAATTCAGAAAGCTTTTATTTTAGGACAGTTTGGCCAGAATGAACCAATTTTTCTGACATAACTGTTTATAATAACAGCCTTAGACTGAAGATACAGATTAGCAAAAGCACTTAGACCTTTCCACAGGAAAAGAAACTCTATAGAACCCAAAGCACAAAAATTAAGCAATAAATATTAGCAAAAATGTCAAGGCTAGCTTGGAGAGGGCCCCGGGCAACTTGATCTAATGCCTGATTTAGTGGTTGTCAAGCCTGCCCACAGCAGGGGGGCTGTAACTTTAAGGTTCCTTCCAACTCATTCTGTGATTCTATAAAAAAGATTACATCTTTATTTTCCATAGAAGAATCTCCCAAGTTCTATATAAAAGTAAATGAATAACTGAGGTATAAGGAGTCCTAAGGCCCTTGGATTATGGCTGACCGTTGTATGATCCTTATCTTATTCTTTAAGCTTTTCTTACCCTGTATTGTTTCCATGAGAAACAGTACTAGTGTTGCTACTGAAACCTATATTTGAAATTGTCTATGGGACTTAGACTTTTTAAAAACATCTTCAGATTTGATGAAAGCTATATTTAGTTCTCCAAGATTAAAACCTAATTAATACAGTTATTAATTCGCAAGCTCTGAAAACTGCTGCCCTGCACACAAGGGAGAACCCACATGTGCAGGCAGAGGTAGCACGTGGGCAACACAGGAAATGAGTCCTACTGACAGCAGCAGGAGTTGAGATCAAGCCATGGCACGTGCTTCATACTGAGGAGTGCTTAGTATTACTCACATGGGCCAGTAACAACAGAGCTGCAGCATCAAGCTAAATATAAACTGAAACAATTCTCCAAAGGCAGATAAATCATTACAAAGTACACTGTAAGTACAAAAAAGTACTTTTTTTTTTTTTTTTTTAAAGCCTAAAGGGAGGGTTTGTTTACATCAAAAAGGTTTACTTGATATGGCACTGGTCCAAATGATAGTCTGCAAATCCCTCCAAATAGAAAGGTAACTTCTACAAGCAAAGAAATTGCTTTCAATCATATAGCTTAGGCTGGCTTCTATAGGTTATTACAGCAATGAGATTTTTTAATAGTTCATCTCAGACTACTTACAGTGACTTCCCCTGTCAAGGAAATGCATGTGAAGGCTTTTTGCCAGACTAGCTATTAGCAGAAATATGGAAAAAATATTTTTAACTAACCTAGCTATGCCAGAACACTTTTTTTTTGGCCACATCATGCAAATAACACAATATTCAAGGCAGCTTTTGCTGAGCCTGCTCATTGCAGAGGAACAACTTTCTCTGACAGACAAGAAACAGCTGTGACTTGGAGTAGAACCAACCAATCCCACTGTACTCAACCAACTTTCTAGAGGACTTTTCTAAGACTTTTAAAATGTTAGCTGTTAATTTTTATTAGATTAATTACACCTAGAATAATCTTATGCATCTTCAACTCAATCCCATGTGTTTATGAAGTCAAGTTTCTGTGTGTATTTACTTGTTTTGTTGTGGGGCTTTTTTGAAAACTTTTGAGTCCACGTTTGTATTTTCTCCACACATAAACCTACACTTCTAGGCATAGTCTCTTCTGTTTAGTATAGACCCTTATTTCTGCTTGGTAGAAAAGATTCTGTTTTTCCATGCTCTGCACGCACAAAAGCCTGAGCTGTCAGAGACAGATGGAAGGTTATTTTGGGCCTCCCAATAACTGTGGGGATTCTCTAGAAGACATACTGCTTACATCAGGAAGTCTGTAGAGCTTCATTGTTCTTTGTAAAGTCATGTTTCTACTCAAGTGTGAAAATTTCACCTCCACCAATTTTCTGGGATTCAGTGATCGATGCCAATACCTGGAAATAAAATTCATGAGATTAGATAGTGTTTTAAGTGTCAGCTTTACCTGCATCCATTTCTCTAATTTCTTGCTCTTCTCTTCCTCTACAAATTTATTTCCTAGCCAGCCTTTACTGACCTGATGTCTGTAAGAGGCTTGAACAACAAACAAACAAAAGATCAACAAAAAAGGAAAGCTAGACCTAAGCAATAGCTGTTAAACAAACCTGCCCACATTTTGGATCTAATCTACTTAAGGAATGAATAACCCCAGGGTTAAACATTCTAGTACCTGACATATCCCCGCCAATCTTTTCATGCTTACAAGGTAACGTGTATTTTACTGATTAGTTTTCAAAGCTTAAAAACAGAGGTCCCTCTTTACTCAGTCACTGAGCAGTTTGGTGAAGGGACTCTTCCCTGCAGACCACAGTGCAACAGAACATCCCTGGTTACTCTAACACAGCACAGCTTTTTTTCCATCCTTACCTACAAAAGGTTACAGAATCTTTGGTGTTGATATGTACAAAAAAAATTTAAACCAAAAGGTTCATACATGAATATTCTGTCCTCAGAAGGATAACGCCGAAACAGAACTTTTCCCAGCAGAAATAAGATCTACTCCAAGCAAATGAAATCATACTTTACAACACACAACTATTTTCATGTGATAGTTTTCCCATCTTTATCAAATTCCTTTCTCCAGGAAAGATGAAAGCATTGAGAAAAGCAGATCACACAATTCCCAGAAATGCTCTGCCATCTTTGGCAAGCAACCAGATCAACAGGGAAGTGTCTCAGCAGGGAAACAGGCCACTTGAAAAACACAGGTATACAATGCTGCCATTGCTAGCATGGCTTTCACCAGAAGGTCACCAGAAACATTATTAATCTATTCATGGTACAATAAACACAATCAGTATTAGATTTCAGTCTGAAAAGATATTTTATCCAAGGCTCCAAAGGGGGAAAAAAAAAAGGAAAAAGAAACCAAGCAGAAAACCACATACACATACTTGTGCTTTTAGGTTAGAATCAAATCCACAGCATCTAATTTCTTTGAATTTTTTATATATATTGAATATACCCATATTGGGTTTACGTGGCAAGGTTTTGGTAGTGAGGGGGCTGCAGGTGTGGCTGAGCAGAGCCCAGTAGCTGTCCCATGTCAGACCCACAGCTGCCACAGCTGAGACATGAGTGACACTGGTTGTGCCTCTGGGAGAGCAGATTTAAGGAAGAGAAAAACTACAGAACAGCAGCTGGGAGAGAGGAGTGGGAAAACAAGAGAGAAAAGCCCTGCAGCCAACAAGGTCAGAGAGGTGACCGCAGTCCCCATTCAATGTTCCCTTGCATTTCTCAGGGGGAAGAAGTAGAGGAGGATGGATGGATGGATGGATGGATGGGGGAGTGTCCGTAGTTGGCCTGCAGTTTTCACTGCTCTAGTTTGCTATCAGTAGGCAATAATTATATTAATCTCCTTACGCTGAGTCCATTTTGTCTATGACAGTAATTGATGAGGGATCTCCCTGTTTTTATTTCAACCCATGTGTTTTTTTACATCATATTTCCTCTCCCTGTCTTTTTGGGAAGGGAGAGTGGGAAAGCAGCACGGCAATGCAGAGCTACCTACCAGTGCAAAATTATCACAGTAGCCAATTACACAGCATGCACTTAAAATGACTACTATAGGAACCAATCTTATTGTGAACATCACCTAGGTTACCTGCAAGTGGCCACAGGTTTGGGGAGCACCACTCCAGCAGTGTAAACAGCCTGAAAAATCCCTTCCAGGTTTACTCTTCTGGTTATTTCCCGAATCAGTACAGGTGCCACCCGCTTAGATCTCAGTTTCTTATGAACACACAGAAAATTGATTTCTACCATCTTCTTCACACTAAAAGGACATTATAGAGAGAAAATAAATTAAAAAAACCATACTATTGACAAAAACAAACAGCATGCTGCATATTCTCAGTTACATAATATTAGTTTTTCATGTTGTAACAGAAGAATTTGATGTAAAGATAAATGAGCCCGTGTCAAATTACGTCTGCAACAAATGTTAATCTGATATCATGACACGAGTGGAAAACTGTATGATGTGTAAAGCAGCATCTAAGCTGTTTGCAGTACTCCATTCCCTACTGTTAATGAGCCTCTTTGTAAGTTCTCCATAGTAGTGGATGCCAGCTTTAAGATTTGTGACATGCCACTTACAAATTTTATTTTTTACAAATATAAAAGTAATGGTGTGTTTTACCTGTCATAAATACGAATATTTGCAGGGATGGCACTTATGAATCCTACCAGCTTTTTGTTTGAAGACACTCTAACCCCACAGTGCCACTGCGGTAACCAGCCTGGAGGACGCAGAGCCCTAGAAGTGATGACAGAAATAATTACAAATTACTGCCTAAGAAGATGCAATAAAAACACCCTTCTTTGCACTCCAGCCAGAACAGAATGTAGCACTTGCCACTCACCACAGAAGAAATTCAGGGGAATAATCGAACCTAAACATATTATCATCATCTTCTACATAATTCTCATTTAACAGTGTGTATAACTCCTTCAGCTGAAAACAGAAAAAAAAAAGAAAAAAGAAGACTTATCCACACACATCAAGCGGAATATATTTCAGTGATTTTAAGTACATATAATAAATGTTTTACTTACAACTTCAGCATTGCTAAGATCCAATGTGTCCCACATAAAACCTTGTGGCAAAGAATATGGCTCTAGGCGGACATTGTCCTTATCTGGCTCAATTGCACCATGAGAAGTTATGACTTCGTCTTTTGAAGGAGGAAAAAGCCAAGGGAGAAGAAGAAAAAAAGAGAACAGTTACACTGCTAGCTTCCCCATTAATTCTCAAGAACTTCTCAGTTCTTATAAACTGCATTCAGACTAACTACTACTTCATCACAGTATCTACAGCCACCACAGAACTACTCCATCCAGTATTTCATAATACAGGACACCAGTTTGTCAGCACATGCATGGTGCTTGGCCAGCTTTGAAATCCATGGTTTCATCATGAGAAATATGTACTGACAGCTAATGAGCGACGGATCCTGTTTACAACTGCCTTGAACAGGTCTGAGCTCAGCAGTACTACTAAGGACCAGCAGTACTGCAAAGCCAGGGCTTGTAAGGAATGCCAGAAGAATAGGAAACGTGTCTTAAAATCCTACATGAAAGAGTATTTCTCTTACCTTAATGTACAACTCTAGTTCATCAGTATATAACAATTGGCTATAAACAGAAATTGCTCCTCTCCTATGGAGTGGCACCTGCCAAACATGGTACATACTTTTCCCAAATAATACCCAATCCTGACAAATAGTTATGGCTCACTGTCCCATTTGGAAGGTCAGAACTACCAGCATCTTTACATAAATTTTGGAAGTATCAGCTGTTTCACTATATAACAGACAAACTAATATTATACAGTAAGAGATCTCTTGCTAACAGCTTTAATTATAAGGCATGTGGATTCTGAAGTTAATTTAATGCAAAGATTCCTACAGCTGCTTCTTGAATCAACAGATTCTTTTTCCATCTGAACATAACCTGTGTATCAAACAGCGAAGACTTCCCATTACATTCATTCAGCAGATTAAGCTAAAAAAGATAATAAAATTCAACAACAGAATCAAGAAGCAATTCAGAAGAACTGCTAAACAGAACCTCTGCCAGCCTAATTCAGCAAAGTGTATTTCTACTCAACAGCCCTAACAAACCATCTTTAGAGTGCACTCTGCTCTGGACTTCTCCATGCAAGGAAGTCAGGGAAAACACAATCACTGAGGACTGAGCTACAGACCTGGATTAATGTGAAACACTGCCCTTTGGACAGATGGAGAAAAGTGTTCCTGTGCTTTACACTCAACTGATTTTTGTCTATTCTACACCTGCCTCCAATGCCATGGAGACCAACTTTCAGAACAGAATGACAGCTCCTGCTTTACTTGTGGGGCCCCCAGGTTTCTTTGGGGCAACAGAGATAGAACAGCTTGACTTGAAAAAAAGTGAAAGTAGAAGACGATACAGAAATAAGTCAGAAAAAAAACAAAACAAACAACAACAAAAAACAAGAGTCAGCAGCTGCCTTCTCCAAAAGGGACTCAGAAAATATGTTTCCAAGGTAGTGTACACTGCGGAAGAAACAGGTGAACAAAGAGCAGTGGAAGAGTATATGCGCAAGGGAGGCATTATTAACCACTTAAAGCTGCATGGAAACACCAGGAGAGTCTCCATCACTCTAACTGCAAATTGATCTACGCTAGCCTT